AGCAAAGGTTAGGAGTGGTCACAAACATACATTTATTTACACCTTTATTTCACATGGAAAGTAAAATATTCTTGATAACATTGACTGTTTAACATTTACATAGAGGGGTAAGTGGATTTACCAAAGAACATTACAAAAGGAGTGAAAATATTCCCATCCTGGCTCCAGTACCTTTTTGTTACAGATCCTGAGTCAACATCAGTTCCAAAGCAATATATTTTTAATGATGGAAACAACAAACACAGCCATTCTGAAAGTGGATAATGGTCATGAATTACTTATTGTTTTAAATTATTGTGTGTTATTTTTAGAAGTTTAGTTCTGCCTTAGGTTTCTTCTTGGATTCATTTCATAAGTTGCTGTTGTAAGTGATGTCGATATCTTATTTATAGAAACATACAAAATAAGAATAGAAGGCCATTTGGCCCATTGAGCCCACTCCAGCATTCAACGTGATCATGCTGATCCCCTCTCAATGCTATACTCCTGCTCTCTCCCTAAACCCCATGATACCTTTAGCTTCTGGAAAACTATCTATTTCTTTCTAAAATGTATTCAGTGGCTTGGCCTCCACATCCTTCCATGGCAGAAAACTCCACTAGTTCAACATTCTTTGATAAAAAAATTTCTCTTCAGCTCAGACCGAAATGTATTAATGTCAAATTTCAACAAGGTCAGGTACTGCTCTCATCATGCACATCCTGAGACTGTCACTTCTTGTTTGAGAGATAGTAGGAACTGCAGATGCTGGAGAATCTGAGATAACAAGGTGTAGAGCTGGATGAACACAGCAGGCCAAGCAGCATCAGAGGAGCAGGAAGGCTGACGTTTCGGGCCTAGACCCTTCTGCAGAAATGGGGGAGGGGAAGGGGGTTCTGAAATAAATAGGGAGAGAGGGGGAGGCGGATAGAAGATGGATAGAGGAGCAGATAGGTGGAGAGGAGACAGACAGTTCAAAGAGGCGGGGATGGAGCCAGTAAAGGTGAGTGTAGGTGAGGAGGCAGGGAGGAGATAGGTCAGTCCAGGGAGGACGGACAGGTCAAGGGGGCGGGATGAGGTTAGTAGGTAGGAGACGGGGGTGGCTACACTGGCCCTAAACCCCACCTCTTCCTCCGAAACTTTGATGACTGTATCGGCACCGCCTCGTGCTCCCACGAGGAGCTCGAACAGTTCATCCACTTCACCAACACCTTCCATCCCAACCTTAAGTTCACCTGGACCATCTCTAATACCTCTCTCTCCTTCCTGGACCTCTCTGTTTCCATCTCTGGCAACCACCGAGAAACCGATATCCATTTCAAGCCCACTGACTCCCACAGCTACCTAGAATACACCTCCTCCCACCCACCTTCCTGCAAAAACGCCATCCCTTATTCCCAATTCCTTCGCCTCCACCGCATCTGCTCCCAGGATGAGGCATTCCACTCCCGTACATCTCAGATGTCCTCGTTTTTCAAGGACCGCAACTTCCCCCCCTCAGTGGTCGAGAACGCCCTCGACCGTGTCTCCCGCATTTCCTGCAACTCATCCCTCACACCCCCTCCCCGCAATAACAACCAAAACAGAATCCCCCTCGTCCTCGTGTACCACCCCACCAAACTCCGGATCCAACACATCATCCTCCGACACTTCCGCCATCTGCAATCCGACCCCACCACCAAAGTCATTTTTCCCTCCCCACCCTTATCTGCTTTCCAGAGGGACCACTCTCTCCGTGACTCCCTTGTCCGCTCCACACTCCCCTCCAGCCCCACCACACCTGGCACTTTTCCCTGCAACCGCAGGAAGTGCTACACCTGCCCCTACACCTCCCCCCTCACCCCCATCCCAGGCCCCAAGAATACGTTCCATATCAAGCAGATGTTCACCTGCACATCTGCTAATGTGGTATACTGCATCCGCTGTTCCCGTTGTAGCCTCCTCTACATCGGGGAAACCAAGCGGAGGCTTGGGGACCGCTTTGCAGAACACCTACGCTCGGTTCGCACCAAAGAACTGCACCTCCCAGTCGCGAACCATTTCAACTCCCCCTCCCATTCCTCAGACGACATGTCCATCCTGGGCCTCCTGCAGTGCCACAACGATGCCACCCGAAGGTTGCAGGAACAGCAACTCATATTCCGCTTGGGAACCCTGCAGCCCAATGGTATCAATGTGGACCACAAGCTTCAAAATCTCCCCTCCCCATATCGCATCCCTAAACCAGCCCAGTTCGTCCCCGCCTCCCTAACCTGTTCTTCCTCCCACCTATCCCCTCCTCCCACCTCAAGCCCCACCCCCATCTCCTACCTACTAACCTCATCCCGCCTCCTTGACCTGTCCGTCCTCCCTGGACTGACCTATCTCCTCCCTAACTCCCCACCTACACTCACCTTTACTGGCTCCATCCCCGCCTCTTTGACCTGTCTGTCTCCTCTCCACCTATCCTCTCCTCTATCCATCTTCTTTCCGCCTCCCCCTCTCTCCCTATTTATTTCAGAACCCCCTTCCCCTCCCCCATTTCTGCAGAAGGGTCTAGGCCCGAAACGTCAGCCTTCCTGCTCCTCTGATGTTGCTTGGCCTGCTGTGTTCATCCAGCTCTACACCTTGTTATCTCATCTTAGAAATAAGTCTGGTGAACCTTTTCTACTCGCCATCTCTGGAAGGATATCTTTTCTTTGGTAAGGTGACCAAAACTGCACACAATACTCCAGGTGTGTTCTCACCAAGGGCCCTGTATAGCTATATTAAGACTTCCTTGTTTCTGTACTCAAATTCTCTTGCAATGAAGGGCTACATACCACTTGTCTTCCTAATTGCAAGCTGCGCTTGCATGCTTACTTTCAATGACTGATGTACAATAACCCCCAGGGTCCTCTGTACATCAACATTTCTCAATTTATAACCATTTAAATAATATTGTGCCATTCTGGTATTTCTACTGAAGTGGACAACTTTATATGTATCTACATTGTACTGCATCTGCCATGTATTTGCCCACTCACTGAACTTGTCTAAATCATCCTGAAGCCTCTTTATGTCCTTCTCACTACTCACTCTCCATCCTAGTTATGTGCCATCAGCAAAATGGGAAATATTACATTTGATTCCCTTATCCATATCATTGGTATATTGTTGAATAGCTGGGGCCTAAGCACTGATCCCTGCGGTATGCCACATCCTTACACTAATGAAAGTGTTTGCAGTAAGCACGAGAGAGAAACACCATGTGATCAGACAGCAGGTCCTCACCAATTCTGTCAGCTTAATTTATGGATTTGACTTTTCTCCAATTGATTGCTGCCATGTTTGAATCCCAGACATTTTGGGAGCAGTCAGAGCGCAAATCTGCTTCAGCATTCATGCATTTTGAGCACTGCAGTATTGGATACATCGGTTCCAACACTGATCTGTTGATTAGGACGTTAGACTTTAAAATTAATAAGTAACATTTATACATATCATTGTTCACATCCCAAGAGCAGCTATAAAATGAATTAGCCATATTCACTTGACAAATTGTGGGATGCTCGTCAGATATTTCACACATTGAAATTTTCTAACAAAATAATTGCCTGTAATGTGCATTTCTTTATTTACTCTTTTCATTTTCTTCCCAACTTTTACCTGAGAGGGCAAACAGGGCTTTGTTTAAATTCTGATTTGACAACAGTGTAGTACCTGAGTGTTAGTCTAGATTTCTGCAATCAAATCAAATCAAGAATTGGGAGTTAAAGCCAGAACCTTGTGATTCAAAAATGTAAGTGCTATTAACTGATCCACAGTGTTTTCTGGAGATGAGAGAAGGGTTGTAATTTGAACACATAGTGATGAAATTTTCCAGTTCAGAGCGAGAAACAGCACTATATAGTTATTAATGTCCTGGAAAAGAAAGAGGAACTGGTTCTGAATAGAACTGGAATGAAGAGTGATCCACATATCCCACAAAAAGACAATGCAAGATTAGCTGAGAGTCATTACATTTATTCATAAGAAATGAATGGAGTTGAAGAAGGAAATATTCAATGTGAGAAAAGGTTCCACCGGGTGGAGGAGAGCAGTTGATGGAGACTTCCTAAACCTCTTTTCAAACTGTCCAAGAAAGGGGTTGAAGGTGCATTGGGATTCAATGTTTGTGTTGAAAAGGAGACATTTAGGGCAAGGAAACTGTTGGTGTTGAGGCAACTTGCACACTTAATATTAGTCTACTTTTTCCTTCTCAGGCTTCTGAATTCCCTTCCATTTTGTAATCTTTTCTTGCTTCCATTTCAAATTCACCCTGATTTAATCCACCACCTCAACTATTCACCTGTTATCTGAAAAATGGAAACTACTGGACATGATCAACAGGCTGGGCTGCATCTGTGAATAAACAGAGGTAACGTTTCAAGGTGATGGACTTTCATAAGTACACTTTTCTTAAATATACTATGTTAATATCACTAAACACTTAACAGATTTTATTTTGAAGCAGTTTACAGATCATCCCCCTTTTCCTCTTGGAGGTGTAATTTTCTTCTCACAAACGCTGGCTGATATGACGGTGTTTCCAACATTTTCTGGTCTTATTTAATCCAAAATATTAGGTTACCTATATCTGCTCAACAAATTTAAAAGATGCCATGTTAGTACCATTTTGTAAATTGCTCAGTCTATTTGTTTGGAACATGCTTGATTTGCATTTATCAGAAGCTGTGTAGTATTTTCCAAAATACGGAGGTACCGGTGTTGGACTGGGGTGGACAAAGTCAGAAGTCACACAACACCAGGTTATACAACACCACCATCAACTGCTCTCCTCCACCCGGCGGAACCTTTTCTCACATTGAATATTTCCTTCTTCAACTCCATTCATTTCTTACGAATAAATGTAATGACTCTCAGCTAATCTTGCATTGTCTTTTTGTGATTTGAAATCACAATACAGTGAATAGAGAACGCTGGCTTTGGCCAGGATCCAGAACAAGGTAGACATTAGACTAACAAGACAGCCACTTCCTCAGCGCGCAGCACCTTGGGATACTAGCAGTCCGATTTCGGAGACCCTCTCTGCACGCAGCACCCTGGGATACTGGCAGTCCTATGGCCTAAAGTGCGGGAGGAGTGGCAGTGTTGGCGGAGGTATCGGCGGTAATAACAGCAGTAGTGTTGGGCGAATGTAACCCGAAAAAAAAACGCGCTCTGGGTGCGAAGCCCAGGCGGGGTCTTACTAGTCCCGGTCCCTCCTATGAATCCTAAATCTGATTCTGAGGGACCGGTACAAGGCTCGATATCTCGAATCCAGGTGAGTTTTTCCTTCTTTTTCCGCCACGTCCCGGGTGTGAGCGGCCCAGGATTTGGGGGCGGGGTGTGGTTGACCTGTGATTTTTGCGTCCGAGACGGGTTTAATTAACACGTTTACTTTTAATCGGATGCCTTTAAACGCCGCGCGTTTGAATGTGGGAAGCACAGAGGTAGGCCACAGCCTCGGGCTGTGCTGTCAGGAGGTTCCCGCCTGTTGGTACTTGTACTGTGTGGCGGTTTGAGTAACAGCAGTCTTTTCTTGACCCCCACACCCCCGGCTCCTGAGAACCGCAACGGTAACTGTCACTGGCTGACGTACTGCGGGAAAAGCTGAACCCCGACTGTCGATCCAAGCATTCTGAGGTTAACAATTACAAATCTTTTATAGTTAAATTCGAGCCAAACATTTACTATTTGTACAGAGTTCGTCCCTACAATCTCCGTCTTTCTGTGTATTTTAGTTACGTAATTTATTATATTTTATTCCCCTTTATTTGGTCTCATTAATGACCAACTTAAGAACCATACACGATCTAATTCTGGAATAAGAAATATTCAGTTACTGCTAGAGCTGATGTAGGTTTTTTTGTGCTAATTTGATAACATTGCACCCCTCTGAACTGGATGTACTCAGCTTAAGCTATGGTAAAGGAAACTGGAAGATCCTTCCTTATCAATCTTCCATGTCCACTATACAGTGTCTGATCCGTTGAGAAGTCCTGTTCGTGTGTTACTGGAACTAAATGTGCCTAGTTGTCTTGTTTTTAAAAGTTTTAAAAAAAACTGTACAAGTGTTGCTATGCAGTGTTATGATTGGACATTTGTTTGGATGGCTTCATAACCTTATTTTAAAACAAAATTTTTCCTGTTTTTCTGTTGATGCTTTGTGCAGTGTCTTCTCTATGCAGCCAACACTTGCATGTGTTTGCACTTTTGCCTCTGGTTTAAGGCTTTGTGAATTCAAACTTTGTACTGTGATATAAACATGCATCCTCTGCTGTCATTCAGTTTGAGTGGTTTAGCAAAGCATGTTAGGTCCTATGGCACTATTCAAAACACAGTTGGCCAGGTGTCAACATTCTTTTCCTCTCAAACATCACCAAAAAACTAACTGGTTATTCACTCATATTTGGCATTGTGGATGAAGTCTGGCAGTTGCATTTGTCAACACAGCAGTCACTGAAGATATTTGCATAAATCTTGTCAGCTTATGACGATATGTTCTATCATGGAGAGACATTGCAAATCTGGTTGCATTCTCACTTGATAAGTGAGATTTGCAGACTAGCTGGTGTCCTTGGATAGTGATGAGGAGTTGTAATTCCTCTGGATTTTTTTTTTTAAATCTTGACATAGGGACCAATATATCTGTAGTGTAATTTGTGGCTTGTGAGAATACAGTTTTGAATTACTTCTTGTTTCATTCTGGATGTGAAATGCCTAATTTGGAATCAAAACATTCACACAGGTTGAAATGCTATTATCATGTCGCACTGACTGAATTTATTAGTTCAGCTGTCAGAAGCAGTAGCTACTGTGCACACATTGTAATCATGTACAAATGGCAAGGAATAAATCTTTTCAGTGGAAACAAGACCCAACTCGGAAAATTTTTTTGCTGCTTCATGAAAGCATGAAGCACTGACATCCAATGTTGAGCAGTATTAGAAAGTATGGATATTCTGGAAGATGCTGGTTTGTTGCTATTTTGCTGTGACAGCAGTTTTTACATTACTGGCGGATGCGTAGAGAAAGCAAGGAGGCAGAAACATAATCATGAACATATGCAAATTTGTTCTTTTGCCTGTTTGTGTACGTGACAGCAATTGGAAATATCTAAGGCTCTGTGTACAAGGAACTCTCACTGTCTTAGACCAAGATTTGTCAAATGTTTAGTGTATTGAAACCAATACATTAAATGAAAATTACACTTACTATGGCTAAGTGTAGAGCTCCTCAGATTAAAACCACTAATATGACAGGTCGTTGCTCTACCATCAAAAGTAGCAGACTTGTAGGCAATGGCAATTTCTGAATCGGCCTTTCAGCAGTCCTTTTAAGCTCAGAAGCTTTTCCTGTTTGCTCTTGCATTGTTCTTTTCTTCTGTTTAAATTTGTGGCATCTTAAAGAGTGTGGCAATGGCTTTGTTTAGCTTTTTATTTGAATGTTTTGATATTAACTTAAAAATTGACGTCCATAGTGTGGATTAGGGCGTTGTGTGCGTTTCATTGAATATCTTCTGAAAGTGAATTTAAAATCTATTTCTGTCTAGGAGATTATACAATCACAATAAGCTCAATTTGTTAAGGTGTCTGACAAAATTTGAATTGTTTCTTGCAATTATTGTGGAATTATTACGGTTACTTATTTATCCTACCAAGTTATTTTAGTAAGTTCATTTCCCAAGCTTGGGTGCAAGGTTGCAGTGGATATTTCTTCTTGTGGGATTTGATTGGGTATTGGCATGTTAGTAATGTGCTGTACCAGGTTTAAAATGAGCAATCTCAACATTTTAATAATAAATATCTGAGAAATACTTGTAATAACTTAAAGTTCTGTTCTCCTTTTGGCATTAATGGTGGGGAAAATTTGCTATTACTTTCGGAATCCAAATCGGACATTAATATTCAGAAAAAAAAAGTGTAGATGTGTTTGGGGGCAGTCATGACTTGTTGAATAATCAAAAAATGGACGGCTTTATCAAACGTGAGTTATGTAAGATTCTAAAGGGAGTGAACAAAGTAGATGTAGAGAGGATGTTTCCTCTTGTGGAATAATCTAGAAGGAGCAGTAATAGATTTAGGATAAGGAGTAGCAGGTTAAAACTGAGATGAGAAGAAATTGCCTTTATTTTGTACTTTTATTTTTAAAAAAAGTTTGTAACATTTGCATATCTGCACTGCCCTGCATCAAGGGAGGATTGGAAGATTATTACCATTGCCTCCACAATATACTGCTTTTAGTATCCTTAGACATTTTCTTGCTGCATTGACCTTGAACACTTCTTAACCACTAGATCATATTAAAACATAATTTTTAATTCTAGTGTGTAGTGTCTTGGGATGGTTTATGTTTTAAAAGTGTTATATAAATGATAGTGAGGTGTGTCTTACAAAGTGCACTGAGTTTATACTTAATTGTGTTTCTGTTCTTTTTTTAAATTTTCTTGTTACACTATTCAATGCATTAAGTAGTTCTGCAGTCTATTGCCAAAAACATCAAAAATATCTGTTTTCTATTAAGAGCTCCTGATATCAGTTTTAGATAGTCATCTGGCAGCAGATGACTGTTTGGTCCCTTTTTTAAAAACGAAACGTGGTAAATTGAATGTTTAAAAGTGGGTGACATTGGTGTTAGCTTCCGCGTTCCCAAAATAAATGCAGCACAGTTAGATTCATCATAAAGGTTCCTCTGTACTGCCCTCTAGTATGGATGGGAAACTTGGATGTGCTTTTACGCTTTTTATACTGCATCTTGTGCCCTCTATGAGTGATATTAATTGTTTAGTGCTGAATTGAGGGCAGTTATCTGCTGTGGACCGATACACAATAGGAATTCACATGAGGCAATCGTCAGTCTTATTTCACTTGAGACCTTCATAACCAGCAGAAAGTGCAGCCATTCATCCTGTCATGTTGACTTGGTGAAAGATGAGTGTTAATCCTATTATAAAATGCAACCCCTTTTAATGGCAGTTCTTTAAAGTAATCCACTTAAAATCACACTAAAATCTCTCTTTCTACAAAATATTATTCTGGAGTGAAAGGCAAGATTTTAACCCAATCAAAGGCTTTAGATTATATGTATTATATGTCCAAAAAATGTTACTAAGGAAATGTTAATGAGAAGTATTGTATGGAAATTGGCCAAGATTTATCCAAATCCTAGGTACAGGTGCACTAAGAATTAATTTCGATCAATGGTGATTCTTGGTTAATATTTGAAGAGAATCTGTTTTAGGAGAGTAATACTCATAAAATTAGTACTTCAGAAAATGAGAAGCCATTAGTAGTTGTATGAGGATTTTGAAAGATGCTTAATGTTTGAATAAGAGACTAGTTGATAAAATTATCACACATTTTAAAGGCTGTGTGGCAGCAATAAGTTTAGTAGTCAGAATGCAGAGAGTAGTGTTTAACTTGTTTGGACTGTAAGAATCTGAGTTACACTGTTTTTCAGAGATCAGTGTGCAAAATAGCAATGATTTCCTGCAAGGGTGTTGCCAGTGACCTCAGAGAAAGTTCCCCACAATGATCTACCAATTACTGTGGTGTGATTTTTTTTCCCTTTTTTATTAGTGGCAATTTTAAATCTGGCACTAAGTCAAGTGGATGGCTTGGCTGCAGCAACAGTAATGTCCATAAAGAGGTGGACAGCAAATCTCATTGAATGATTCACACATATACCAGAAAGTTAAAAATGTTCAAAACCTATCACTTTAAATTTTCAGGTGGCAAAATAAGTGAATGTGTTTGGATCAAGATAGCAACTAAGATAAAGATAAACTTTTTTTTAAAAAATGAAATGTTTGGAATTTTTAGTCAATCTGGCAAAATTTGATATCCAAAAACAGTCTGACTTTTTCAAGGGATTATTTAGTAAGAGTATCCGCATGCGTGGAAATTATTTCCAATTCAGTTGATCTCAATTGATTGCAGTGTGTGGGTACCTGAGCAGTGTAAAATACTGAGGTTGGAGATGGATACAAACATACCAAGCACGTCAGGAACAGAAATAGGCCGTTCAGTCGTTTAAACCACTGAGTAAGATCATGGTTGATCTGTTTGTGTCTGACTTCCACATTCCCATCTGCCCTTGATAAACTATGATTTCCTTGCCCAGCAAGAATCTTTCAATCTCTGCCATAAAAATATTCAATGACCCTACCTTCGGAGACAGTGTGTTCCAAAATCTCTCAACCCTGTAGGAGAAGAAATTTTCCTTAACTCTTTTGTAAGATGGTCAAGACCTGATTTTAAAACATGGTCTCCCTTGTTCTGG